CAAAGGGCACATTCTGCAAGTCTGCTCCTGGCCACCAGCTCTTAGTCCTTCTCTTCTTAGTTGATGAATCTAGAGTCCTCAGCCGCTCCCCCTCTTCATGCCCTCATCTCTGACTCCATCTCTGGCGCTGTTTCTTATATGCATTTTTCTTATGTGTACTTATCAGAGGTTTTTTTTTCTGTGTGGCTTCCTTTCATGTGTGTGTTTTTCCTAGAAACCATGTGGATTATAGCAAACTGTGAATAACAGTGAAGAATAATATTCCAAAACACTTATTTGTGCTCACGTGGAACCTGTACATAGACCAGCCATTCAGACAGAACAAGAGAATAATGAATGGTTTAAAATCAAGAAAGGTTTACTTCAGGGTTGTATCCTTTTTCCATAATTATTCAACCTGTATGCGGAGCAAATAATCCAAAAAACTGGACTATATGAAGAAGAATGTAGCATCAGGATTGGAGGAAGGCTCATTACAACCTGTGATATGAATATGGCACAACCTTGCTTGCTAAAAGCAAAGGGAACTTGAAGCACTTGCTGATGAAGATCAAAGACTACAGCCTTCAGTATGGATTATTATTCAATATAAAGAAAAATTAAAATCCTCACAACTGGATCAAATATACATCATGATAAATGAGAAAAGATTGAAATTCTTAAGGGATCTGTTTTACATGGATCTACACCAACACTCATGGAAACAACGGTTAAGAAATCAAACATCCTGTTACATTAGGCAAATTTGCTGCAAAAGACCTCTTAAAAGTGTTAAAGAGCAAAGATGCCAGCTGTTTTGATCAGTGTCACAATAGATGGATCCTGATAGAACAGGAGAAAAATGTGGAACTGAACTCAAATTCTGTAAAAATACAGAACAATTGGAGCAGTTGAGACTGGAAGACTCCCCAAGACAATCACTCTGAAATACTCTTTAAACTTTAAAGAGAAATGATCTCATGAGGTCACCTTTCAACTACATAACAGATTGACTCAGAAAGTAAAGGATATCACCCATGAGTAATGAACTCCTTTTTAAAAAAAATCCATCATCTCCATTTATCATGATTTATTTATTGCTATAGTGGTAAGGATTTTTGTATTCTTTACATTGAGGTGCAACCCACACTGAAGGCTGTGGTCTTTGTCTTCGCCAGTAAATATTTTAAGTCCTCTTTTCTTTCAGCAAGCAAAGTTGTATCCTCTGCATATTGCAGGTTAATGAGTCTTTCTCCAATCCTGATGCCACGTTCTTCTTCATATAATCCAGATTCTAAGATTATGTGTTCAGCATACAAATTGAATAACTATGGTGAAAGACTACAACCCTATCACAAACCTTTCCTGATTTTAAACCATTCAGTGTCCCCTTGTTCTGTTGGTACACAGCCTCTTGGTCTATGGACAGGTTCCTCATGAGCATAATTAAGTATTCCAGAATACTCCTACTTTGTAATGTTGTCTACAGTTTATCATGATCCACACAGTTGAAAGCTTTTGTGTAGAAATAAAGCATATGTAGACATCTATCTGGAATTTTCTGCTTGTAGCCAAGATCCATCATTTATCTGTCTGTCACACTGTGGTGGCTTGCATGATGCCTAGATGCTGGAAGCTATGTCACCATTATTTTGAATGTCAGCAGGGTCACACATAGTGAACACATTTCAGCTGAGTTTCCAAATGAAGACACGCTTGCAGCCATATGCCCTCTTGGCCAGAATGTGCCAGACATAATGTTGGCGCTGCATTTTCTTCTATTTTTCTTAGAATATTTTTCCTCCAGACATCTGTGGGGCTTACTTCCTCATTTCCTTGGAGTCTTAGTTCTGATTTTACTTTAACAGAAAGACCACCATAAATAAAATAACCTCCATACCCCAGTCACTGAACTCCTGGTGTGGCGCTGGAAGATAAGCACTGGATTGTGAACCCACCAGCTGCTCTTTGGAAACTCGGTACAGGCTCACTATGAGTTGAAATCAGCCTGATGGCAATTAACACCAATAAACCCCAGTCATTACCCTGGATTTACTTGTCATAGCAATCCCACCATCTGGTGTACTTATCAAGGAGCCCTGTTGGCACTGTAGGATAAGCACTGCAATGGTAACCTCAAGATCGGCAGTTCAAACCCACCAGCTGCTCCTTGGAAACCCTATACAGGGTCACTATGAATTTGAATCGACTCTATGGCACTTAACAACAACACTACTTACATAATGGAGAGCTAGCTCATCTTAAATGGTACTTTCAAGCTGCTGAATTTCTAATTACTTTAAGAATATGTATCAATATTTCTTGACCTCTTTTCCAATAAATCTCAGGCTAAAGCTCCTTCTTATGATAAATGTTTTTCCTACATTTGCCAAATTAAATATTTACTTTAATCTATCAATATAACCTTAGCGTTTATGGTAGTAGGAGCCAATATGTGCCTTTTGTGAGTAATGAGGTATCAATCTAATCTGTCTTGAAAGGAAAGCTTAAGTTTTTTCCAAACTTATTTTGCTTTTCTGTTTACCTTCCATTGTAACTCCCAGTTTTGATTTTTTTGCTATTTGTTAATATGCTTTTTTGCCATTATATAATTTGTTGTTGTTAAGTGTCATCAAGTTGGTTCCAACTCATAGTGACCCTGTTGTATAGGGTTTCTGAGGAGCATCTCGTGAGTTTTAACTGCCGACCCTGTGATTTAAACTGACCTTGAGGTCTAGAGCTTATCTTATGGTGCCATAATTTAGACTCATGTTTATTTATTAACTAAGACTGGTATGGGACAGAATCCCAAATTAAAATATCTTAGGACTAAAAGGGGAATTTATTAGAAGGATATGGAATTTCTCAATTAACACCAAGACATGGATAGAATAGGCATGAAACTAATCTTTGGGAATGATGTCAGAGCATTCTTTTTGTTGTTGCTGCTTTTTATTTGAAGAAAGTGAATGAAACCTTACAAAGCAAAACAGTTTTCCATTCAACAATTCATATATACTTTGTTTCATGTCACTGACTGCAATCCCCACACTGTGACATCACTTGTAAGTCCAATACCCATTCTACCCTGTGTCTTCTTTCCAAACCCTTCTTGTTTTCTGAACGTTGTCCTTGGGCAAATGCTGCTCTTTTGATCTTGATTTATGTTGTTGTTGTTGTTAGGTGCCATCTAATTGGTTCCAACTCACAGCAACCCTGTATAGTGTTTCTGAGGAATGGCTGGTGAATTTGAACCACCTACCTTGCAGTTCAAACTGACCTTGCTGTCCAATGCCTTATCCCACAGCGCCATACCAGGGCTCCTTGATCTTAAATATAGTTGATTGTTTTTAGAAGTGCATACCTCCGTAGTGTTAATTCTTCACTACATAGACCTTTCTGTTGTTTCGTTGAAAATTGAGCCGTGGTGAGTTCAGTTCCAAGCCTGAAGGGTTACTAAGGTCCACAGTCTATCTGACCATTAAGCATGGTCTTTTTTATGATTTTGAGTTTTGTCCCACATTTTTCTCATACTCTATCCAAGGCCTACTAATGTGATCCCTTTCAGAGTGGTTGCTAGAAGTAACCATCTAGTTCCTCTGGTCTCACGGTCTTGGAGGCTGAGTTTCATGTGGTCCAGTAGTCTATTGGATTTTCTTCTCTTTTCATTGCTCCGGACAGCGAGTGACCAATAGTTGCACTGTATTATGTGGCCATGGCAATCTTTCGATTGACTTCCTTCCTTTCATTGCAGATCATCAGGAAAGTTGCCATACCTCGTGATGCTTTACTACCAGGAGGATATTTTCTCTCTCAGCTCAGTTTCCATCTAACCCAGAAGCCATCAATGAGGTCTAGGGGATGGCTTGGTTAGATAGTCAGGGAATTAAAGTTATGCAGAAACATAATTGTCTTCACGGTAGCTGGACTGTGAATAAGGAGACAGTTCCCAGGAAAAGAGAGACGTTTGTAACAGACAATTTCTTGGGCCATAGATTTATGTATAATTGGAACAGACCACAGTGTTCTGTGGTCTAATATAAATGTAGTGCAACAATTACTCCCTTGATTTGGACATTGTGCTACTTCACTTTAGACTTTACTTCAGCAATGAAGTCATACTGATGGCTTGTATTAAGGTCCTCTACTAAGTGTTACTGAACTTTATTTCATTATTCAATTGTACCACTCTGTAGACTTGAAGAAGGAATGGATTAGTCAGAGACCGATTCTTCATTCGGGGAAAGAGTAATTGTTGCAGAGAAAGAATTATATAGCACTTTATGCTGGACTCCTAAGGCTAGAACACAGTGCTACTTCAAGGCTCGACTCATTGTTGTGTTTGTGTGAGAAATGGGAAGGAACGGAGAGTGTAGAACACTATAGATGATTATGGAATTAAGACAATTAGGTTTTTACTATAACCGCCCCATGAATTATTAGCTCTCTAGAATAGCATTGAATGCCAAATCCTCTGCATTTCATCAGTGATCGTATAATAGACAATAAAACAACTTTGTGTCTGTCAGCAAATTATGACAGTGGCCACAAAACTAGCACCTATAATTTAATTACTCTTTTTATTATTTAGTAATGCTCTGGTACCGTAGTGGTTACAAATCAGGCTGCGAACTACGAGGTCAGCAGTTCGAAACTACCAGCTGCTCCGCGGGAGAAAGATAAGGCTTTGTGCTCCTGTAAAGATTTATAGCCTCAGAAACCCTGTACAGGGTCGCTATGAGTCAGAACCGACTCCACGGCACATAAA